AGGGGGAAGGGAAGAGGGAAAGCCTCCTTTCAGTTATGATACAGAACACCTAAATTAACAAAAGTGGATTCTTTTGTGTTTCAGGATTAAAAATTCAAGTTCTGCTTCAAAAACACTGCCTACTATATGAAGATCACTGTGGTAGGAGTTGGGGAGGAGAGAAAGCTTAGCTAAGACACAGACCCTGCCTTATGGGGCTTACAGTCTAGAAAGTGATTTCAAATCATAAGAGCTCCGTTGATTTTACAAGAAGACAAGTAAAGAGAGATGCAGCGGAAAATTTGGCCTGTCAATAGGACTGCTTAAAACCTTCTTCAACAATATCTAAACAAACTGCAGAGAAATGATGGTACTATGACAGCTTGCAAATTCAAGACAGGGAAATATGAAGTGTTAAACCTTGGCTGAGACTAGATTCTGACTTCTAGACACAATTGCCTTCATTTATTCCAAAAGACAACTGATGTTAATGGCTCTTAGTGTCTTATTAACAGGGGCAGCTAAGTAGTGCAGTGAGTAGAGTGCTGGGTCTGAACTCAGGAAAACTTGCAAGCTGTGTGACCCTGAACAAGTCACTTAACCTCTGTTTGCCTCAGTTTCCTCAACTGTAAAATGGGGATTAAAAATAGTACTTTCCAGGGTCTACATCAAAGTGACATTGTGAATATTAAATGAAACAATATTTGCACAGTGCTCATTCCCTCCACTTCCCAATTAAAAAAAAAACACAATTGAAGAAACGGATTTCAAACCTGGCCTCAGATCTTTACTAGCCGTGTGACCTTGGGCAAGTCACTTAACCTCTCTTTACTTCATTTTCCTCGTCTGCAAAATATGCTTAAATCTTCACTCAGAGTTCATCAGCTCTTTAATGAGAGAATATTTGTAAAGCACTTAGTACAGTGCCTGGCACATTGTTGCTGTTATTTTTCTAACCTCTATATAAATGTCAGCTATTATTATTATTATTATTATTATTATTATTATTATCATCAGAAAAATAAGAAAAGTTGGCCTATGTCCCCAAAAAGGTGAGAAAGCAGAAAAGTACTGATCTGGTTCTAGCTATTGGCCTGTAGTGAGATCCTTGGCCTCTAGCTCTTACTACGCCACCATATAACTGAGCAAGTCATACTTTCCTCATCTATGAAAGGTTGGACTACAATGATGATTGCAAATGTTCCTTTCCAGGTCCCAATCATCAGATGTCTTCATGTACAGAAGAGAAAGGAAAAACTCAAGTGAATTGTCTATTTTCTGCCCTCCCAGATATTTTTGGGGTGGCTCTGTTAATTCTGGTGGTTCAAAGGTTAAGACTTTAAGAATCCTGATTCCTAAGCAAACATTTCTCACACTAGCTTGGAATTTGCAATTTGATGCATTTGGCAATCAAAGAGAGATAGAGGTAAACTTTTTTTTTTTTTAACATGGGAGCCTTCTCCCATAATGTTTCCAAAACCAGTGACAGTTAAGTCACAGTTCGCAGCTACAATAAGGCTCAGGGTTCTCAGTTGATGCAAATGGTGTGCCCAGCCCCATTCTGTTGGTTATGAGTGCCCAGAGGCACCTCCAACACAGAGGAAAAGGCACTGGGCCTAAAGTCAGAAAAAGGCTTAAATTCTTGATTTTGCTAACTCACTGTAAGAACTTGGGTAATGGACTTGAAAAATAGGATTAGTATTGGTATTACCCCCAAAATTAAATTGTCATAAGAATCAAGAGACAAGTACATGTCAAATTCTTTGTAACTGTATTGTTATATGAACGTTACCTGTTCTCATCACCAGGCGGCTGGTCACCAGGTGAGAAGCTATTTTGACCAAGGTATTTCATGCCATCGTGTTTGCTGAGGCATGGAGGGTTGCCCGCATCGATGAAATCACAAATCTTTTGAAATATTAAAATCTGAGTGAGAATTATTCTCACTTTCTGCACAGGGTTACTCTTCTCCATGCCATGCTAATTATCTTCATGGGCACCAATACCCTGGGGAGGCTTACTCTATGGTGCTGTGTGTATTAAGCATGTGAAGAGCTTTTTAAAGCACCTCTGAGGTTCATAATCCCCAACTACTCCCTGATATTTTCAAACAGAATTTTGTACTAACACTTCCTAAAGACAGCATCAGTAATTTTATTGATGTTAGGTGGGAATAATGAAAAAGAAAAAGAGCTCCAAACAAAGAGGACCACAGCTGTAAAAGTACACAATGGAGTTATTGAAATTAGAAGTCATGCAGGCAGAATGTTTTCATTTAAGAGTCAACCTGAAATTAAGCTAGAAGTCTACATGCCATCATCATTTAAGGATGGTGCTGACATAACATTGTTGTGAGAAGTGGGCAATGTCATATACCTGGCTTGGTAATGCAGTAACACTTGGTTAATTTGAACCTGACTGATTTGGAATTATTCTGATTGAGTCAGTTTATTTATGCTCTTTGAAAAATAGGTGGGGGCTACTCAAGACTGAAGGGGAAAGATACATTTTCTTAAAGGAACTGTTTCCAAATATCAACTTATAAACCAAAAAAAAAAACAAAAACTTAAAAAGAGTCAGCGTATGGATAACTTAAAATGGAAATTATTCTTGTTTCTTAGAATGGGTCCTTTACTTGGCTTTGTTCCATTTATTCTACAAATTTGCAGATAATAATGCTCCATTTATTAAAAATGTCCAATAGCTCTGACTTTGCATTAATTCTTTTCCCAAAATGTTGTGTCTCAAATCAAAACAAAAGTCCCTAAGTTGTCTGGCCACTTTCCTAGTCCTGGACCTTCTGCCTCTCCTAAAATAGTCTACAATCACATTAGCGTTTGGGGCTGTCATATGTCACTCTTAATTCATACCAAATTTGCAGTCTACCAAAAACCCTCAGATTTTTTTCAAATAAATTATAGTTTTACCATGCCCGTTTCATTTTGTATTTGTGAAGTTGGCATTTTTTTTTTAAATCTCAGTAAAATCTCAGCAGTTCCTACTAGATTTCATCTTATTCAGCTCAATGTTTTAGCTTGTCAAGGGCTTTTCAAATCCTTACTGTCATCTAAAATGTTGGGCATCCCTTCCAACTCTGCAACATTTGCACAACACATCACATTTGATAAGCATGTCATTTATGCTTTTATGAAAGTCATTGATGAAAATGATTTTTAAAAAACCCCATAGGGCCAAGCACAGTTCCCTGAGGCACTCTACTGAAGACCTTCCAAAGTGACATCAAGCCTTCAATAATTACTATGGGATGTTGCCATTCAATCTAGGCCAGATCCATCAAATTGTACTAGTTCACTGGCCTATGTATGCAAACTCCATTTTCTTTCCTTTTTTAAAAATTGGGACATTTTTAGTCCCATACCTAACAATTTTAGTCATACTTAGGTAATTGGAACCTGGCCAATGGTTACCCCATCCTCAGAGCATGTGGAACATGCTGGAGAGTCCTCTAGAATGGCCTGATGATGTGCGATGGAAGGGCCCTGCTCCCAGATTTGGGACATGCTCAGACACTCTAACTGATTTCTGTCATCTAACCACATGGTGAGGAGACAAACTTCTAATTGGCTGCTGAGCTAAAAATGGGGTGTATTCAAAAGGACATAACTGGACAAAACAAGTTTCTTGCTTTTTTCAGCCTTGCTGCGTTGGACTGAGAGAGACATACTGTAACCTGAGGAAGGAAAGAGGCCTCAGGCCCTCGCCATTCATTGCCCACATGTGGTATGTGAATATAGACCTTTTTACAGGTACTTTTTCCTGCTATTAGGTTATTATCATTATTAGGTAGTGGAGATGGCTATGGCCTTGAGAGCTTCAAAAGGTCAGAATGGCAAGCCACTGATCTAGGGATCAGAAGTCATGCCAGATTTTGAGACCAGCTAATATGGTAAGGAATAAAGTTTGGAGCAACCAGTTGACCTAGTATAGACTGAAGGCAGTTGAGAAGCTATAGCAACTCATTCATGCTATGCTGAATTCAGAAATGAACTTGAGTGGGGTTGGGTATGTCATATAGAAATTGCTTTAAGTGTAAGTCCACTCTCCTTCAGGACTGAGATAGTATAAAGAAGGATGTGTCCCCCCAGTTTTGGGGGGAATGTTTGTATTTTTCTTCTTGCTGAATCTTCTCAGTAAAAACACTAATTGAGATGACACTGGAGGGTCAGATTAATAGCAGTAGAGAAAGACGCCCCCGAGAAGTCTGAAGGGGCAGATACAGCCTTGCTCTATGGGACTTGACTCATGGGTGATAGTGGGAGTTGGAACAAGGATCCTCAGAGCTTACAAATGCTACACTTACACTACCCACTCTAGAGGTTTGTTGTGAGAAAAGGTTTTTTTCTTTTATTTGTAAAGTGTTTTCTAAATACATGCTTTTATGAGCCTGCAAGCTAATCAAGAGACTGGATGGTGCTTTATTCATCTATCTCCCACTGGACTTACTACAGTGCCTTCCACAGAGCATGTTCTGAAGAAATATCTCTTGGGTTAAAGTTAAATTGAATTGAATGTTAAGGTAGTTGGGTTATTTTTGATTCCGAGTTATTATTTCATGAGTATGAGGAACACCTGGGTTAGAAACTGCTGATATGTATCTGCAAGTCTGCATCATCGTCTTAGAGAGCTACCTGGCAAATGCATTAGAGACAGCATTTGAACCCTTCCTGACTCTGCCCAAAACACTATGCTTTCTTTCAAAGACAGTTTATAATCTCTAAATCATATGTAAACATTATGAGGCCCAATGATATCCATTCCCCCAAGAATGACAACTCATTTCAACCACCTATGAAAATGAAGATATTTGATAAAATTAACTTCTGAATTATGAATTGCAGAGGCAGAGCACTTCCTTCATTACTTGCTCATAAAGAGCAGAAGCCACAGCATCATCAGGCAGCAACGTAATGACATTAACATTAAGTCCTAATTAAACAACGAAGACATATACAATCTGCCAGCAAACCGCCCATCCAAGCAAAACACATTTCAATAAAATGTCATTTTATGTTACCCTTTAATTATTTGTGTTTGTATTAAACCCCAAACAAAGCAATGTTTCTATTGGTCAGTGAAAGTGACTTTGCTTTTTAATAAGGAACACATGAATGAAGGGAATGGTACTTGGTCTATGAAACATCTGTTCTTCCTTCACATATCATTATAGTTGTATTTGATTTTCCACACAGAAATTGTTTGCACCTGTCCTCAGCATTTTCCCCCAGCACATATTTACAGCATACCATTAACACTCACTGTTGATTTTCTCCGATAAACAACACTGGAGAAGTGTGGCTACTACTTATGGCAGAAGTAGATTTTACCCTTTGTCACTGTTGGGGGCAGTATTCACGTCCCTGCTCCTCAGGAGAAATCAGACTGACTTTAGACAACTCAATTCTAGGGTATACAGGTATATCAAGGGTACCTTGCAAGAAGACCACGATAGGATGTGACCGGTAAATACGAAGAAATCAGATATTTTCAAGAAAGAGAGAGTGTAACAGCTGGGGAATCAGAGAAGGACTTGTGTAGAAGGTGGCACCTGAAGTAGGCTTTGGCCTTAAGTATCCTCAAGTGACAGACTGCCAGTAGACAATTCAGTTCCCATCAACATGCATTTAAACATCTGCAACGCACAACAAAGTGTACTGGATGTTGGAGATACAAAGAGGAAAGAAAATTGGCCCTTTGCTTCCAGGGAGCTTGTACTCTATAGGTTTAAACAGCAGAAAGATGGTTGATTAGGCCTAGATTTCACTGTTGTTAACCAGACTCTGAGCTCACACAACTTCAAGGATGTGTTGCTGCAACGAGGTAGGGGCCAAAAGCTTAAAAGCCTTGGCAATAAGAAAACAACTACGATCATCCTGAGGTATGACCCTTGAACTCCCCTTGCATTGGGTGACCTTGGTTCTTAGGCCCTGGAGGGGGCCACATCAGTAGGTCCGGTTCAATTTGATTCAACTCATAATGACAGAGTCTGTGTGTACTGTACTGCCAGATGTATTAGGTGAAGTCAGAAGTAATGTGTCTGTCACTTCAGGGTTACAGCATAATCCTACTATGATTTCCTTAGGCAATTGATCTCCAAGTCTTCATTTATTCTGCAAGCAAAGAGGTGTTAATGCTCCCAATCAAGCCTTCTGAGAGGAATGAGGAGCTGTCTCTTTAAGAAAAGCAGGTCTGGTGGGCAGCCATATCATATCTACTTTCCATAACTCAGAGCGTCCAAGTGAATCATTCTGTACTCCGGTACACAAATACGGCAAAGCAGAAAAGCTCACAATAATGCTATTGAGCCTGGGACAAAACAAAGAAGATGGAATGTTTAGAAGCTAATGAAAAATTTTAAATGACATACATCTTTTTTTTTAAGAGTTAGAAGGGTAATATTGTGGAAAGAGAATTGGATTTGGAGTCCAAGGCCTTGGGTTCAAATGTTGACCCTGTTACTAGCTACCTTTGGGATGCAAGGACCAAATTCTAGTCTTCTGATCGTGGCAAAGACAAATACTACTGAAAGCATTCTAGACTCTGTGGCTGATGGAAACCAATCGAGCAGCAGGAGAAATAGCTAACTACATTCAGATCCTTTTAGTGCCTCTTCTGCGTCTGAATCGCAGCCACTTCATATGTCCACAATACTTCCATAAATCCCAAGACCTAATTCACAGGAGCTTAACGTGGCTTCTTGTTTATTTTGGTCAATGTTTTCCATTCCGTTTCGCTTCCACAGAGGGAAGCGAATCACTTATTCATGATATGTTGTGGGAGTCAACTGTATTTTTCTCCCAATGACCTTATCCACTGAATACATTCACCTCCTTCTCTCCCAAGAAGTTTTTCCCAAACCATCAGTCTCATTCCTGCAGGCCTTTAAGCACAGAAGGGTAGCAATTTCACCACCCTCCCCCCTGGCACCTTTTGCCCAGTGCTACCAGCTAAACAGAGAAAGCTGATTATAAAGGTTAAGAGCTTGCCTCGCTTCCCTTGATCCCTATCAGAATTAAATGTATGTCAACTGTGGGGAGCAGAGCAGGCAGTCACATTTGGAAGCTGGCATGATGGGGCCAGTGTGCAGTGAATTTCTGATCTTTGACGCCACTCTAAGGCAAGTATAATTTAGGAAATGTATGTCCAGGAAAAGAGAGGTACTAATCAGGTAGCGAGGACCAGGGTAACAGCAGGACAAGCCCAAGGAGGAAGGGAACAAGCATTTATTAATCACCTACTATGTGTCAGGCACTGTTCTGAGTGCTTTCCAAATATCATCTCATTTGGTCCTCACAATAAGCCTAGGAGGTAGATGTTATTATGATCCTCATTTTAAAAATGAGGAAACTGAGGCTGAGAAAGCTTAAATGTCTTGCTAAGAATCATACAGCTTATAAGTGTGTGATGCCAGACTTGAATTTGGGCATTTCTAAATCCAGGCCCGGTGCTCTGTCCACTGTGCCACCAGCTGTCTCTGGTGCTGTACTGGTAGGTACCCAGAGAAAGTTAAAACACAAGACTTGTTTGACGTGATGCAGCCTAAGTGAGCAGAACTGGGAAAACACATTACAAAGTGATCACAATCAGCACAAAAAAAGAAAGGCAACTTTGAAAGACTTCAGAACTCTGATCAATGCAAGGGCTAATCACAGTTTTAGAAGACTGAGGAGAATGCAGGTTTCCTACCTCTTGGCAGAGAGCTGGTGGCCTGCAGGTGCAGAATAGGACATGTATTTTCCGATACAAGCAATGTGTTTGTTTTGCTTGACTGTATTTATATAAGAAGAGAGTGCTTCAGCCCAAGGGCAGGGGGTGGGTGATGATAGTGATAGGAGGGAGGAAGAGAAAAAGAAAGAGAGAATGAGAAAGACACAGAGAGAATGAGAATGACAGAGAGAGAATGACAAAGAGAGAGAGAATCAACAAAACATTAAACGACGCACAAGAAAATGAAGTTTGTAAGGGAATACAAATAAGCAAAGCAGCCTTCTTATTGCCATGTTAAATTTCACATACATTTTAAAAAACTGCAGCTACCAGAAGTTCACATTTTCATATACACTTCTCTTTTCTGTTCTTTTCTATATAAGGCAGTGTTCCTGTTTGAACATGTTTGAGTTCAGAGTCAATTTTTTTGAAGAAAGAAAATTGAACAATCCAGAGGAAGGCTTTTAGTATACTGAGAAGATACTCTACAGAGAGACTCATGGGAGCTCCTGGACAAGGATGGTACAGGATGAAAAGATACAGATTGGGAGGGAGGGGGCGTGAACTGCATCAGGAAAGCCCATATCAATGAGCTCACGGTTTCATTTTTGGTACTGAAGCACAGCATTATTGAGAGTGGTCACGACTCAAAAAGAAGTACCATTGCTAAGCATTAAAGCCATTCTGGCTCTCTGTCCAACCTCTACTTAGAGATCTCTCATGAGAACAATTCCACCCACCTCCTGAAATTCCACCTGGAGTAGCCCCATACCACTTTGGGCCATAATGGAGACCACTTCAGAGCACTGCTCAAAAGAGGGAGCCCAGATTAATTGGGCCCTCCTATTTCCATCATGTTGATAACATACACCATTAATAATATTTTATATACAAAATCAAAATAAGTATTTCATGTACACATATGGAATACTTCTTTAATATTATTCTCCATACTCGATTTTATTTGCTCACCTGCTCTCTCTTGGAGAATGGTACTGACCAAAAGAAAAAAAAAGTCTTTTTGTTTCTGTCACACTATAATTTAATAAGCTCTTGGAGTACATATGGTAATATGTAATAATATTATATGTATAACATTATATATAGAGAGAACAAGTATGGTCCAGTATTGAGAATAATATCAAATAAGTATTTCATATATCAAAGGTCAGCTGCTAGAAGCCGAGTAAGCAAACAGTCACATTTGGGAGCTGGCGTGATGGGGCGAGAGTGCAATGAATTTTTGCAGCCTTACCAGGTAATTCTGATCTTTGAAGCCACTCCAAGACAAAGTAGAATTTAGGAAATGTATGTCGAGAAAAAGAGAGATGTTGGTGAGGTGCCCTTCTGTAGTGAGGCCCAGAGACACTTGGACAGCCCAAGTAGGAAAAGAATAAACATTTATGAAGTGCCTACTATGTGCCAAAAATTCCATCATGTGGATGAAAATAGGAGTATCAGATTACTATAGGCCTCTTCTTTTGAGCTGTTCTCTGAAGTGTTTTCTAGCACAACCCAAAGTGGTATGGGCGACTTCAGGAGGACGTTGGGATTCTTCTCCTGAGAGAACACACTAATGCAACAATACTGTTAATACAACCTGGATAGCAGTGTGCATCCCGTACAGGGTTCTCTATCAGAAAGGAGCCACAATCACCACTCTATCAGATCTCCCCTTCCCAACATAGCTTTGGATCATCCCCACAGTCACATCAGCAGTCCCCTCCTCCATGTAGTAGCCTAGTACTGCTTCTCCACCATGGTGTTCTTCTGGGGAGGGTCACAGTGGATACCTCCACATTGCACATATACCACAAGAGTCAATTAATTCCAAGTGTGACAGAAACAAAAAAAAAACTTGGTTTTGGTCAATACAAGCAACAGAAAGAGGCCGTTCTCCTATAGTGAGTAGGTGAGCAAATACAATGAAGTCAATCAGAGGAATTGCTAAGTTCTCCACAGGGAGAAGTTTCATTCCTACACGTCTTAATCTCTTCTCCAAGCCCAAGATTCCAGTCATGGCATGGACACCTGACTCCTGAGAGTGGAAGGCACATTATAATCCCACCCTCTGCCTTCTGGAAGTCCTCGTCCAGGTGGTGGCCAATGACTCCCACCTCTCTGCATTCCCTTTCTTAAGCATCAGGAAGAGATGTTACACCCATCGGACGGTCCCAATCGAATTCAGTCTTGGTTACATAATCATATAACTCTTCTCATGACTCCCTTTGGCCACGGGATCAAATTATGTATCTTGCCACTAGTTCTTGTGACTGAGCCCCACTGGTGAGGGGATTTACTTCTTAGTTCTAAATTGTTAATAGATATGTGCTTTAGCAAGTCCCTTCATCTCTTGGGCTTTAAGTTTCAACCTCTGTAAAACGATGGGATTGGACTAGGCCCTAGGTTTCCTTCCAGCTCAAAGTCCGATGCCTCATGCAAAGTGCTTCGTAAATGCTGTTTTTAACTTGATCTTGAACGGAACAATTATCTGGAACAATTTACACATAATTTGGAAGGTCTCCTGTAGGCCTAGGATTTGGGGATTCCTAGAGTGACACATGATTTCATTAACCTGGGCATAACAATTCCACAGAAAGATAAAAGAATACGATTTTTAAAGGATAGGGAGATAAAACAAATAAAAGGCATTTGCTAAAACATCCAGGACCTCAAATGTTGACATTTTAGCATCTGATCTTTTGTCAAAAATTCAATGACAGAGTATCAGAGTTGGAAGGGACCTCAGAGGACAAGAAAGTCCAACCTATACCTGAACACTCTGCTCTATAACACGCCTGACAAATGGTCGCTGAATGTCCACTGGACAACATTCTGAAAAAGGAAGCCACTTTCTCCTGAGGCCTCTCCAGGGCTCAGCGGACCAACTCTAATCTTCTTTCATGCTTGAAGACACTTACCATGTCTCTATCAATCTTCTCTTCTTCAGGCCAAACATTCTCAGTTGCTTCAAGTGATTCTCCTATGGCACTCCTGTGAGTTCCTTTAATATACTGGCTGTCCTCTTCTGGGTGGTGTCCATCTTATCAATACCTTTCCTAAAATACAGCACCTCCAACAGAACATCACTTTTTTCATATGTTGTGTGGCCAGAGCAGAGTGACTCTACAACCTCCTTATTTCTTGAAGCCTAAGATGATGTTAATATATCATACTGTCGACCTACTGAGCTTGCAAGTCCATTAAAATCCCCAAATCTTTTACAGATGAACTACTCTCTAGTCATACCTCCTCCATCTTGTACTTGGGTTCAAAAAAAAATCCACTTTATTACCAACTTCACATTTATCTAGACTTAATTTGATCTTAGTAGATATAGTACAAAATTCTAGCCTGTTGAGATCTTTTTGGATCCTTATTTGTAACTCATTATATTACCTTTCATTCCTATTTTTGTGTCATCTGCAAATTTCATAAGCATGCCATTTCAGTCACTAATAAAAAAATATCAAACACTATATGGTCAAACACAGATCGCTGGCTTACTTTGGTATAAATCCCCTTCCAAGTTGATGTTGAATCACTAATGACATTTCAATGGGTATAGATGATCCGTCAGTCCTGAATTCATCTACGTGTACTGCCATCTAGCCCCCATCTCTCCCTCTTGTCCACAAGAATAGAATGAGAGACTTGTCAAATGCTTCACTAAAACCTAGGTGAATTATACCTACAGTACTCTCCTCATTTACAAGTTTAATAGCTGTCAAAAAAAAGGGAAAATTAGGTTAATCTAGCATGACCTCTTCTTTTTTCAAAAAATAAGTTTATTTTTTTATTTTAATCTTTTTAAAAAAATTTGAGTTTGGAATTCTCCCCCTCCCTCACCCATTGAGAAGGCAAGAAATGCAATATCAACTATACATGTGAAATCATGTAAAATATATTTCCATATATTTCCATGTTGCAAAAAATATAAGGCAAGAAACATCAAGAAAGTGAAAAATGTATACCATGACCTGTTCTTGATGAAGCCAGGCAGGCTCTGACGACTGTTTCCATTTCTAGATGTTCACCAACCATCCCTTTAAAAACACATTCTAGAGTTTGGCCCCAAATCCAAGTCAAGCTTATCCACTTCTAGCTAGCTTGCTTTATGGTTTGCAAAGTGCTTTACAAATACTGTGTCATTTGATCCTCACAACCATCCTGGAAGGCAGCTGCAATTATCTTTCCCATTTTTATGTCATATACACCAGACTTATATACTCACACCAGAAGGAACAAAGCATAATCCTCATGCATAACATTTACTGAAATCCTTGTGAAGCCAAATTAGTAAACTAAGGGGACGATAAAGTCACCTCCTTTTTTGTGAAGGACAGTCAAAGGTCCTGAAAAGAGAGGTGCAAAGGAGACTTCATTTTGTGGCTCAGGTATGATTTGGAAGAGGGTTTTGGAATCTTTTTATTCTAGATTTCAATTTGATTCGTATTTTTCAAAAGTGTCTCTGTGCAAGGCACTGGGGTTCTGGAGACAAAATACAAATGTTGATGACTTTAAGGTGCTTATGTCCTCCTGGAGGAGATAAGTATATATACACAGGTGTGCATATACATATGTGTATATATAGACATATAAACAGAATAAATATGAAGAAAATAAATGTAAAGTAGTTAAATGTTAGGGAGTTGATAGGGAGAACATTAACAGCTGAAAGGATCAGGTAAAGCTTCATACAGAAGGTGGGCTTAGGGAAGAAAGACTCTATTAATAAGAGGTAAAGAGGTAGTTCATTCTGGGCATCAACAATAGCCAGGGCAAAGGCACAGAGATGGGAAGTGGATGATGTGTAAGGAATTCAGAGAAGGCCAGTTTGGCTGTATCAGTGCAGTAGAGGGAATAATGTACAATTAGGCTGGAAAGATAGGTTGGGATCAGGTTGTGAAGGGATTCAAAAGCTAAGTAAGGAGACTGTCATTTCCCAAAGTAACACAATGTCTTGTACACAGTAGTTGCTCAACAAATATTCATTGGATGATTGAGTGGCCTTATTTCTCAAAAACATGTCAATCTCAATAGACTTAAGCCAAAATCTGCTACCTATGTTGATAGGTTTTCACTTTGCTGCCAGTGATGGCAAAGTCAGTAGGAATCACACCCAGAAAAGATGGTATTTACCAGTTTTTGTGAACATTCAAAACTAAATGAGAGTGATTTTACCAAATTAGGTAAAGAAAGTTCAAACAGAGGTTCACCAATAAAAGTTGCCTACTGAATGATGAATTGTTTCAGCTCTACCACATGAAGACTATATACCAAGGCAGGGCTAGTGGTTGTGAGCTGTGCCAGAGTACAAATATCCATGCTGAAGGAAACCCTGATCCTTGAATTATACCTGAGGTGGAATGATTTACCCCAAGGCTCCTAATGGACATTACCCAGAAGGATTCTTTTGCTAACAACTAGTTTCCAGTAAACAAACAAACAAGGATAACAAACACCAGGCTACTCTCAACTTTAAGAGGTAGATAAAACCCAGCAGATATCTTGAGCATGAAGGAATTTATTTCTAGCTTTGCCTACCTACCCGGATCTTCAATGAACAAACAAATTCCTCAGGGATCCTGCCTGGCAGGAGAAGCAAGGGCTAAAACCACATGACATATTGACACCATTTCTCTAATCTCTAAAAGAATTCTTTGTTATTCTAACTGTGGAAAGACATACCAGGGATCACCTTGATATATGGTTCTTGAAGACTCTTGGACATCTTGGCTGTATCTGGTCCTCAGATTTATTTCAAATGCCTGCATTACAGGCATCTGGTGCTGGAAAAGAGATATTTGGGCATGAGACATTAGTTTTTAAGTAAAACGAGACTAAAGGAACAGTAGCAAAATTTGTGTTCTATAATATAACCTGTTATTAGGATTGTTATTTAGAATTATTTGGGAAGGCCCATTTTGGTACAGTTGAGAGTAGTAGGAAAAAATGTTAACTTCTCTTTAGAACTGGAAATCTCTCTCAAATAAATTCCACCACCCTCTTCCCCCTGCCCCCACACCAACAGAGTTTGAGGTCTTCAATGGAAGCATTTACCAGCATACATACACATACATGGGCATCTAGGTGGTACAGTGGATAGTGTGCGAGGCCTGGAGTCAGGAAGACCTGAGTTCAAATCAGGCCTCAGACACTTACTAGGTGTGTGACCCTGGGCAAGTTCCTTAACCTTGTTTGCCTCAGTTCCATTTCTGTAAAATGAGCTGGAAAAGGAAATGGCAAACCACTCTAGTATCTTTGCCTAGAAAACCCCAAATGGGGTCACAAAGGGTCAGATGTGATTAAACAACAAACACACGCAATACACACACACATATAAACATATATATGGGTATATATGTATACACACACACCACATATGTAAGCATATGGTGTTGTTCATTTCAGAAGTCTTTCAACAAATACAGACAGGTTTTTATATACATTCAAGCCAATTTTCTTCCCACATACCCAAATCCAGGAGTGAGTATTTTCTATTACAGTTTTCCTTTGAATAGACCTCCCATGCAGGCAACCAGTGTATGTGTGTGAAGATGGAAAGATGGAGAGATGGAGAGATGGAGAGATGGAGAGGGAGAGATTTGACCCTGTCAAGTTTCTAAGCCTCAATTGCCCAGGAGATTTACAGCACTTCTCTGATTGGTAGGCACCAGCCTCTATTAGGACAGAACCTGTAAATAAAGATAATGGTGGAATGCATAACAAATTCTGCTCCCCCCAAAAGCATAATTCCCGAAGCTAGAATTTCAGATTCATTCTCCCCTTCCTAGGCCTTAGGGCCAGATTTCAGGTGCTTCTGGGAGCAGTTACCTTAATAAGATCTGCCTACAAAGGCAGTAGAGAATCAGGTTTGAGGACTGAGGGTTCAACTAGGCTGAAAAGAAGTTGTAAACCTGGAGGCGTGTTACTTAGACACTTCATTGAAGGACAGTATTATAGAGCATCTAAGAGGAAATGGACCAGATGTGGAGAGGGATTGCCTATCATAGAAATATGACAAAAGGAGTATAAGCAAGACGATAGAGGCCCAAGTTTCCAAGAAGCAGCAAATCTCAGAGTCGGGGGCGAGAAACCTTAGAGGTCATCTACTCCAACCTGTACCTGAATAAGAATCCCCAGGATGCCAAAGCATCCAGGAACAAGGTTTAAAACTACATGCATGCAAGCCCCACCCCCCAATCCTTTCCACACAGCATTCCCAGTTCTTTCAGCCACCGTTCAGATGTCAGTTTCAGGGCCTCTCCCCATTTCAGTTGCTCTCCTCTGGCCAATCGCTGTGGCCTTCCTAAAATGTGGCACCTGGAATTGAGTGTAAAGTGCCTAATGTGGTCCGACCTGGCCAAAGTGCACTGGAATTATTGCCTCCTGCATTCTGGTTGCATTGTCTCATGATACAGGCTATGGTTTCATGAGGTTTTTTGGAAGTCACATCTAACTGTTGACTATGGCACTGGTAGCCTACTAAAATACTTAGATCATGTTTCCTCTGATGCACCTGCAGCATCCTTTTTCAGATGAATACATTATAAAAATGTTGCTTTTCTAACCCTAACTTGAACCCCTATATGTATATTATTCCTTGTGTACTTCTTTCAATGTTAATATTTCATAACATAGTAAATTGCCCAAGGCATGAATTTAATCCACAAAACACCTATGTGCAATACACTGTGATAGGTGGTGGAGATACAAAGATGAAAAAAGGCCCAGTTCTAACCCTCAAGGGTTATAATTATATTACATTATAATATGGGCATAGGGGAATTAAGAGACACAAAATAATAACTCACGCTTACATAGTCCTTCAACGCTCACAAAGAGTTTTCATTACAACAACCCTGCATTACTATGCCCATTTTTTTTTTTTTACAGATGAGGAGACTGAGGCTCAGAGGTGATATGCCACTTGCCCACAGTCACATGGCTAGGAAGCTTCTGAGGTGGGACGGGAACTTAGGTATTTTCATTCCAAGTTCGGCACTTTATCAACCACACCACACTACTACAAACAACGATGCACCTGTGAATTTGCTAATGTGTGTGTCTACATGGGTATAGAATCAGGGAACACTTCATGGAAGAGGAAACGATACTCACGTTGGTCTGGGAAGGAAAAAAAAAGATTTTAACAAGGGGATACTGGAGCGGGGAGGGAGTCCATTCTAGACATGGCGGCTGGCATGAGCCAAACATGGTGCATACAGGGCATGATGAGAGGCAGGCCAACTTGGCTGGAAAGGCAGACGGTGTTGGGAGCAAGTCACAGGTGGGGATTTTTAGTTCTATACCTTGGGTCTTAGGCTGCTAGTACCTTGTCCTGCCTTTATACCCCTTCGCGGTACAGGAAAGTGGGATGGGGGCAACAAAATCACCTCTCATTCCACCAACACACAACAATAAGCCACAGAAACACAAAAGAAGGAGCCAAGGGAGAAAATTACATACCTAGAAAAGGGGTAAGAGCCAGTAGGTTCCAGGGAAGAGAGCTGTGGAGGTGGAGGCAGAGGGCCTGGGCTTCCAGGCCACTCTGGGTGATCACCACTAACTATGGGCAAGTCCCTTCTCCTCCTTGGACCTCAGTTTCCTCCACTGTACAGTGAGAAAGGGTTGGACTCCATAGCCTCACATCTCAGTTTCTTCTCCTCTGCCTGTAGAACGGCTGCTCAGGCCCCACCCCTATCAGTGCCAATGACTCACACCTGGCAGCTATCAGTGGGGCAAGTGAGCAATCGACCCCTCCCCCATCCCTCCAGCAGCTCCAGCTTTCCCCTAGGCCACTTGTGCAACTTCCCTCCTCTCATCCCAACTTCTACCAGAAAACCAGCAATTCAACAAAGAGATGGACCAGGAGTGAAGCCAACATATCTCCGATTCCTGTTCTTTTTTGATACAGTTCTACAAATACTAACGAGCAATGCGACAAGAGAAGGAAATTAAAGGCAGAAAGATAGGCAGAGGGAAGAGAAAACTCCTGATCTGCTGAGGACATGAGAGTTTACTTAGAATACCCTAGAGACTCAGAAGAGAAGCTAATTGAGACAATTGATAGCTGCAGCAACATTGCATGGCTCAAAATAAACCCATAAACATCCACAGCATTTCTAAACAATGCCAATGGCTCCCAAGAGGAAATGATAGAAAGGGGAAATCCCATTAAAAATAACTACAAGATGCATAAACTATCTGGGGTTTTATCTACCAAAGTACACAAAAGAGTTGTGTAGATTCAATTACAAAGTGCTCCTTAAAGAAATAAAGAACAACTTAAATAGTCAGAGGAGTATACTAAGCTCATGGCTGGGTCCTGCCAACATAATAAAATTGACAATGCAACCAAAGTTAATTTACACTTATAATGCTATATCAGGCTATCAAAGGGATGCTGTATCAAATTCAATAAAATAGTAACAAAAATCATTAAGAGAAACAAGAGATCTAGGGTATTGAGGGCAATTAAGGGAAAGAGACAGAGATAAAGGTAGAAGAGCACTTTCAGACCTCAAATTATATTATAAAGCTGCAGCAGCCATCAAAACCATTTGGTACTGAATAAATAAATAGAAAAGTAGATCAATGGAAAAGATTAGACAAGGGACAACCATGATTAATGGAACTCAATAGCCCAGTATTTGACAAACCTGAAAACATAAATTGCCTAGGAAAAAACCCCTATTTGATAAGAAATTCTAGAAAAAATGAAAAGCAGTTTGGCAAAATGAAGGCTTAAACCATAACCTTGAAATCCAGGGGTGGAGCTTCTGCGGCTTCGAGGCCACATGTGGCTTTCTAGGCCCTCAGGTTCAGCATTTTGACTGAGTCCAAGCTTTACAGAACAAATCTTTTTTATTATGGGGATTTGTTCTGTGAAGTTTAGATTCAGTCAAACAGGGCCACATGTGGCCTCGAGGTCACAGGTTCCCCACCCCGGCAGGCTTATACCATATTCCAAAACGGATTCAAAATGGGTATGTGACCTTAATATTAAAGTTCGTACCATAAAAAATTTAGAAGAGAAGCAAATCATATACTTTCCACAGAAATGCATAGAGGGTAAATTTTTAGCCAAATAAAGGCTAAAGGGAGTTAAAAAAGATAAAACAGATAACTTTGATTTCATAAAATTGAAAAGCTTCTGCACAAACCAAATTATTTCATCTAAGTTGGGAAGGGAAGCAGGTAACTGAGAAAAAAACCTTGGTATCAAAAATCCAATGATGGTTTGGTATTCAAAATATATTGACAACTAACAGAAACAAATAATACCAGAAACCAGTCCCCAACAAGAGGTAGTCAAAGGCTATGAACAAAAGGTTCTCAAAGGAAGAATTTCAAACTATTAACAATCATACTTAAAAAATGCTCCAAATCACTAATATTAGGAGAAATGCAAATCAAAACAACCCTGAGATTTTACGTCAAACCCAGCAAATTGGCAAATATGACAAAAACTGGGAATAGTCAATGTTGGAGGGCTGTGGAAAGACTGGCATACTAATGCACTGGTGGTGGAGTTGTGAATTAGTATAACCATTCTAGAATGCAATTTGGAATTATGCAAATAAAACAGTTAAAATGTCCATATCCTTTGACCCAGAGATTCTACTGCTAGGTACCTACCCCAAGGAAATCAATAACAAAAAGAAAGTCTCTATATACACCAAAATCTTTATAGCAGCACTTTTTGTCACAACAAAGAACTGGAAGCAAGGTAAATGATGTCCACTGATTGAGGAATGGCTAAACAAATTATGGTATATGAATATAA